CCAAGAGACTAATAACTTTAAGAAAATTGACTAATACTAAAACAGATTCGAACAGATCGCAAATAAATTGAATATAAAACTTCAAGTATGGCTTCGTCACGCTATAATTTCAATATGGCGCTTGGGACGCTTGCGTCCCAACATGGCGTTGCTACGCGGTAACCAAGCACGTGACCTAATCCTGCAAAGGGCCTATCATTTCCATGACACTGTCAGAAAACACAAAGCTATAAGGGCACATGCCTATAGAATATCATAGAAATGCCTTGATTGACGTCCTCAAAACCTTTCCTCGTCGTGACAGAAACAATCGCTAGAGCGGTGAATGTGATTGAGAATGACAGTAACATATCAATTTGCTTGGATAGAGTATGAAACACTCTTTCAAGTGCTTGATATGGCTTCTCGAACTATTAATAATTCTTTGAGGAATTCAAAACATAAGTTGCTAACATTTTATGCTAATTTAAGAATACATTATTTTCAGACTTCCTTTGCTGTGTGCTTACGATTTTCTTTGTTTAGTCCTCATGAATTATTAATGTTGCAGAGTTTGAGAGGTATTTTAAAGGGAGAATAGACTGTCACAGAGTGTTTTTTTCCTCTCTTAGTGGCAATTTGGTTCTCTGGTATTCCCGTTCTGGAAGAGCCAACACATCAATAATTTCAAATTGTATTTGACATGCTCTGACCCATACCAGCTGGCCTAGAGGACTTGTTTTCAGAGTTGATTTATTTTCTGGTTTGGGCAGAAGAGTATTGCACTTTATACTGTACTTACCAGGACTCTATCAAAAGCTGAAGCAGCTCCTCCCCTTTGAACATGACCCAGGACAGTCACACGAGTGTCATGACTCAACTTTTCTTTGATAATCTGTTAAGGCCATCAAATCAATTCAATCTTATACTGTAAGTTTATGCATGCTACAGTGGTATCATTAATGACTAATAAAAAGCAAGGATTAAAGTCGTTCGTGTTGAGAACAAAAAAATAAACCTGTTGGGAAAATTTCATGTAACAAGTAACATAAAGATCTAGGAAGCACAGTGTGGCATAGCAGTGCAGTTAAAGCATTCCCCTTCCACAAAGGGAACCCAGGTGTGATTCCCAGACTTTGCATGGTATGTGGACTAAGAGTTGTTTGTTGGTTTTCTTCTGTGCTTCAAGGGTTTTTTTCTTGGTTCTACATGTACAGTAAGTCAAGGTTTTTCTTCCCTTCTCAAAAATCAACATCTAAATTCCAATAAGCTAGTTCATAAGTTAGAATCGTTTTCAGTGCGCATGCGATTTTATCCCTAATTTCTCACCTTCTTTAGTCAAAACCTTCTTTTGTTAATAATTAAACTAAAGGAGGTGAGAAATTCAGGATAAAATCACATGTGAAGTGGAATTGATTTTTACCGGAGTTTGCATAACTACGCGGCCACCCCCAGACAGAAATCGAGTCATGTAGTTTGCAATAGACTTCTGTCAATCATTCATGTTGACGCCATTATACACGTTTGGATCAGTGAGTTGGCTTTATCAAACTTTCTCAGTCAGATATCACGAAGGAAAGTTCAGAAAGCGATTGCAAAGAGTTTGAGTACATCCAAGTAAAATGAGGTGTTTGATTGACGGCAGTCTATTGCGAACTACACGTGCGATTTGTGTCTGGGGTGGCCGCGTAGTAATACAAACGGCGGTAAACTATGAATGGGCTTATTGCAATCCAGTCACAGAGGAGCCACTCAGTTGAACGACTGTAATCTCCAATTAATGTCATTATTATTAAATCTGTTACCAGTAAGACTTACGTCTTTAATTTGGTTTGAAGTGATGCCATTGCCATGAACATCTTGTGCTCCTTCTGCTACGATCACTATGCACAATCGACGACCACTCAACCTGACCTGTAGATTAAGGGTGAACCATCGTAATCAAATTTATAGAGATAAATAAATGATTGGTTTAAAAGGACCAAGTTGATGTACACTCAATAGCAAAATCATTGTTGTTGGATTCAACTGAGGCTAACAGCCTGTACTCTACATGTAAGGTATGCATGATTATCCTATGATATATTCGTTTGATCAGATACGTAACTCTTAGTTGATATGAAACAACATGTGCTTTCTTTCAGTGCAACAATTCATGAATATTATGCCACTACATGTATACACAGCTCTAATAAACATCCTTCCCACCCACGGTTTTATTCTCTGATTTTTTGTTCTAACTCTTCAAACCAGAAATGATTTTGTAGTTAAATTAAAATAAATATAATCTTTATTGAGTATACCAGGACCTCAATGAAGTGGTTTACACAAGGGTCCTTCTATAGAGTGTACGCATCTGAGTTTAAGGTAAACATAAACAGCCTGATCAGAAAGGGCTTTGAAAAAGTTAACTCAGAGTCAATAAGTGAAAGCTCAGAGGCCAATAACAACAATTTCCAATGCCTTATACTTGGCTATCCATACTTGGTTCTCTTTAAGTTTGGAATATTTTAATTCCAGCTAGGCAGATTCTTCTAACCTTATGTAGGTGTCTACACATCCTTTCTTCCCATCCATCTTCTGCAGGCCACTCGGGAATAAACACCTAAGATAACAGTAATGGTGTAATTTATTATCAGCTGATATGACAGGATATTTATCTTTAGCTGACTGAATATTGACATATACACTGGGGGGACTACTAAGCATGGCAATCCATGCTCAATGAAAATTTTGAAAATGACCCTAATACTGTAGGTACCAGATTCTTGTGCAGGTGGGTGTAGCAAAATAATAATGATTTTTACCCCTAAAAGGTACCAATTATCAATAATCTATTTTACAATAACATTACGTATTCTCACAATCTGATTGGCTGACAGCTTTGATCAATAAGAGCTCAGGCACATAAAATGACAAATTACGAAGATTTTACCAGGAAATTGATGAAAATGGGTGTGACTGTTAGATGATATCATACTGAGAAATTTGAGCAAAGCAGAGAGTGCCTATTAATTGCCATCCCTGGATCCAACTCCTGTCCAGGCAGATACAATCAACCAACCATATAGCTTACTATCTGTCTGTTGGCTGCCTCTTTGCCAATGCTTGGCCAATGACATTCATGTAATATATAATTAAATAGTTTTACATTGCTTTCAGGGAAATCAAGACTGACACAGTGGTAGTGCACTCGCCTTTCACCTCTAGAGTCTTGGGTTCAAGGCTCTGCATCACATGATATTGTGATATTATGAGTTGAGTTTCTCTTCTCTTGATTCTGATCAAGGTTTTTTTTTTTTTTTTGGTTCTCCAATTTTCCTCCCTCCACAAAACCTCACACACTAAATTCCAATTTGATTTCGATCAGCCCAGAGGTTCTTTCAGGGCATCGACAAAATCTCAAGGCTTTTCTTTCAGAGATAAAGGAACAACTTTCATACGTAAGAAATATCCTTTATTAGAATAAATTTCCTTGTATTAGCTCTAATGTGCACCAGACAAAGTTAAAAATTATATTTAATATACTTACATAATCAGCTCCTATTCCAACACTACTAACAAGTGCAAGATACCTACAATTATAGGCAAAACAGGAAACATTTGATATATAAAACTCATAACCATAAAGTCAAATTTGTAATTCTGTTATAAAATCATGTTCATTTGGCAATGCATAAACTTTAATTTAGATTTTTTCACCTAGAACTAAATCTTTAAAATCTTATTGCAAAATGAAATTATGTACCCAAATGTTGAATAACTAGTTTTAAACAACTGTGTATGTGGTGTATCAGATTTACAATCACTTGCCTCTATCTCAGTCTATAGACTTTGTATATCTGATAAAACAGAGTTCTCATGTTGTAAAGTATTGTAAGGCCAAACAAGAAAACATAAGTGTGTTTCATGTTGCGCAACCGACCCTAACTTTCTTGCCGATTTTTGCCAACCCTAATATTTTTTTCATTCCCAAATGCACCACAGGGTTCCCAGTAAGCTCATTTCCACTCTTGTGTCAGTGAAAAAAATCTGACCTAGTGACCCCAATTATTTTTCTCATGTTTGGCCTAACATGAAATTTTACATGACTTATGTACATGTATTTACAATGCACCATACAATTTTTTTACACTTACCCACAATGCCTTCCCATAACTTCCAGAACAAATGTTCTTTGATGGCTATAAAAAAAAAAAATAGTGGGAAATTGAAATGGGAAGAAAAGAAATACAGGGTATCCTTCAGTAAAATGAGTGTGTTGTGAAAGTACCAGTTGCCATCTGGTATGGCTTTGCAGTTATGGAGTAATGTGTACATATGTTGGGATGCAGTGTGGTGCAAAGCTATAGAAGAGTGGTTTGCAAATGGAAAGGTTTGGTTATAATATACTGTATGGTGAAGGTGAAGCTTGCTGCACTGTGCTTTGCTGCTAAGTAAGCACTTATGTTTTTGTAGGGTGTTGAGGTGAGCTGCATTGTGCATGGAATGGTATAGGGTGTGGTTGTGATTTGCTGTGCTGTGCAGTGTGGTGTAATGCGTGCTGTGTTGTGTTGTAGAGTAGTGTAGGGAGAAGTGTTGTGTGGTGTGGTGTACTGTGTGGTCTAGTGTCGTACAGCATGGTATGGTCATACAATATGTCTTTTGTTGCAGCAAATGGCAGGGCTTGGTATGTTAGACCAATAAAATTGAATCTCACCTGGTGGCAGTAGTCAAAATAGCATCACTTGCTTCAAATATCCTGTGCAAGGCAGAATCTGTTCCAATAGTCATATCAGTCCCACAGAAATCATTATCAATGGATCCAACCTACCCATAAAGTAGTTAAAGTTAGCATTTGAAGCAGAATCATATTTTATAGAGTATTGGTCGGGAGCATAACGAGTGCACTAGAACTCTCACCATCCCCAACATGTCCAGATGAGACATTGCCATACCAAATTTGTAGTTCATTTCCTGGCAATTAATACTAAACATTTACATGCATGTGCTTTGTGTATCTCATTTGCTCATATGTGATTTGAAAGACCAAATGACTGTGTTTTTTTWAAACTTACATGTACACAGTAATTAATATAGTCATGTACAACTGATTCACACAAAGCTTTTACATATCCTCCCCAGGCACTACATGGAAAACATCTGATATAATTTATGTACACTGTACATTGTATATTTTGCTACTTTTCTTATCTTACTTCTTTTTTGTGTGGGCATATATAAGTATGTAAATGGAACATGCAAAATATGAATTAATATAAAAATTATTAAATTCATTGCAGGCACAAGGGTTAAAAGCTTACCATCCCTACAATGTTCAATGTTTTATGCTGAGCTGCTTTCTCAGCCGTGATAGACCCTAAGAAGAAACAAACAAATGAATACATTATCAGGGACTGCATAACCAGGGGGCTGGGGGGCTACAGCACCCACCCCCACCCCCATCCCCAAACTTTTGCACCAAAAATATGAATATAAATGAAAAACGATTTCCCCCCTGAAATTTGGTTGAGAATTTTTTTAATTTCCAAATGCCACTGCCCCCCCCCCCCCCCCCCCCCCCCGCACTTTTCAATATGCTCTGTGGTCCCTGATTATATCACAGGAAGCCCAATGTAGATAAAGTGAATGTTGAAAAAATTGGGTGAAAAGGAACTTTTAATTGGACATCAAGATAGTGTATTCCTTAACCAAAGGTTGAGAGTGAAAAAATCAATAAAAAATCTAGAAGACTTTGTTTTTCTATTACCCTGTGAGCAGAATCTTCATTTAACTCCTCTACGGACGAGAGAAGGAAAGGAGACTCTGCAGAAATTGTGCTTTTGTAGTTCCATTATCCAAGAATCTGGATAATGAGATGCATAATTTCAGGTTTCATACTAGTTTAAACTGGTTTTGCTGCGCAAGTCTGTATCATAAAATATGGCCGATGACCAAAATTGAGCCCGTGTCGTGTGTCAAAGCGTAATTTCAAAAGCACTCTAAATCACATTTTATGAAATAAAAATCAATTCCAAACAACTGTTCATCAAAGGAAATTGCTAGAAAGTTTTATGGATGTCAAAGACACATTTGTTTCGCTGCCGACAGGTCACGGAAAGTCACTTATTTTCCAGCTTGTAACTCCAATGATCAAACATCTTCAAGAAATCGATCCAAACACTAGTTGATACCCTAAGAATCCTCTTTTGGTGGTAATAACTCTACTCCAGGCTCTGACGAGCGACCAAATTTCCGCTTATGAAAATTTAATGTCACCAAGCTGCTAAGCTTGATGAAATTGAAGCAGATCATCTTTCACTGGGGTCATGAAGCTATAAACATGCTTTGATAAGTGGAAACTCGTTCGGACCGGAAACCATTTATGAAACGAGTGATCTTGTGAACGAGTTAGTTTCTTAGCAACCGCTGCACATGCTCWAATAACATTCTACACGATTTCTGCAGAGTCTCCTTTCCTTCTCTTGCCCGTAGAGGAGTTCAAAGGAGACTCTGCTCGCAGGGTATTTTTCTATATGATTGCCCTATGGTATCTAATTTTTTAAATTATTTGTATCTTTATAGAGTATTAATTTTTTACAGTAACTATATATATATACTATGTACATGTACATTTCTAGATAGAAATAATGAAGAAATAGAGAAAGTGCTGTGTGCAGTTATGAAGCATGCGGGGGTTGGCAGAACACGAGAGAAGTGTTAGGAGAAGCATGACATGTAGCGGAGTGCTTCTCAACACTTCTCGAGTGTTCTGCCAACCCTGTGTGCTTCATAACTGCACACAGCACAGCAAGCAAGTTTCTTATTTGTTGTACAAAATTCAAATTACAATAACTGTTATTTTAGATAGGAATGACGCAACTGAAAGTGTGCATGCGTGCTGTGTACTCTCATAAAACACGCCCTCCAAACCAATCAGAACGCAAGATTTATAACAGTTATTCTATAATGAATATTAAAGAACAAACACCTTTTGTAACAAGCTCATCAAGAAGCCCCTGCCATTCTTGTCTAAAGCAGTTGGCACCAGTAAGACTGCCATCACCACCAATAATAACCTAGTAAAAAAAAAAAGGAACATAACCACACCTTTAACTTATAAAACTCAGATTTTAATAAAGCCTTGATAATACTGTATTACCAGGAATTTCCTAGAAATTTCCTAAAAGTTGATTGGTTTGGTTGGGWAGAGTTGGGTAGCATTAGTTTGGTTTAACATTAGTCATGTTATTTATAATTACAGTATATCACAATGACAATGCGAGATCATAATTATATCCTACCAGGTTAGTGATTCCTTTTTCAATCATGTTATTGGCAGCTTTCAAGCGACCTTCACGAACCCTGAAATCTTGACACCTGGCACTGCCGATGATAGTACCTCCCTGATGAAGACAAAAACATCCTTATTAAAACTACAATCGGCAAAAAACATAATGAGATGACCCCTCTGATTAATTTTGTGGTTTGTGATACATGAGCATTGGTCCATTTAACATTGCTAGGGGGAGGAGGGCTAGAGGACAAGAATTGCTTTCCTATGGCATTGGGTTTCCTGTGTTGTCCAGGTCTCAATCCCTCCCCCCCCCCCCCCCCTCGCCAATTGCAGCTACCTAAAGTAATAAAACAGCCATTTCCATGCATTTTCATGCCATTTCCATGCATGAAACAAGTAGCAAGAGAATATGAGCTTGAGGTGAGTGCTTCTTACAGTTCTTAAGTTTTTTCTGTACTAATATCGCTCACTAATATTGCTCTTTCTATTTTTGGGCTCTATATTAATTGTTGTTGCAACTACTACATTTAAGGGCATTGAGTCGACATGTGATTCATTTTTATAGTACAAATGGCATATTGGTATTTTCACACTTTAAAAGAAAAAAAGCTTGACATTTCAGCTGCTCTGCTCTGAGTAGGAAATAGCATTACTGCAAGTAGGCGGAGCAGAGAAGACAATGGATGTGAAATTGTTCTCCGTTGGCAGCATGGTGCAATACTAAGAAGCTTTGTCCAGACAGTACTTTCAAATGGCATTATCATTGATTTATCATATAATTAATATAACTGTAGTAGGCTCTTTACCTGTTGTATGATACCAGATACATCATACCAGCTAACCTCCTTGATATTATCACCACCATCAACTAGGCCTTGGTATCCCTGCAGGCACAACATATCAAGAACTTTTAAATATTACAGTACATAGAAACGGTTTTCAAAAATACAGTAACGTATATAGGCAAAAGTAAAAGTTTGCTAAAAGTTTTGAACTTCTTTGACAAGTGTCATCTTCAGGAATGTAAAGTTTGAGTATATTTTGGAGCTATTTGGTACTTTTGAAAATGACAAAAAAAAAACTCATGTATAATCTATATGGAACACGAAAGCCTCAAGACTACTATTCTGAAAATGACACTTGTCAAAAATGTTCAAAACTTTCAACAAACTTTTACTTTTGCCTATAAATATTAAATATATATTATGAATTCAAAACATTCTTATCAGCGAATTTTTATGACATTATTTATAAAGAAATTAAATAAACAAGGTGGTTGATTGTTTTCACATGTAAGGTGAGTACTGTAGATTGAGTTTGTTACCATACAGTAGGTCTCTGCTTTGACTTGAGGGTGTTTTCAAAAAGTTCTTCAAATTTTCTTTCCTCTGTCCCCATAACCTGTACACTACTTGTAATGAACATGCCCTGAATTTGATAAGTCCAGAAACTCTTTAAGGGTATTGCTAGATTTAGAGCACTGCATACTGTAGATACACTGAGTACTAAATGGTGTATATATAATCAATACAAAATTATTATGTTTATTCCCTGGACTCTGAAGATGACTTCTGCTCAGGTTGTCGAAACGTCAGTCACCACAAGGCTACCTTCACTCGGAGGATCACACTTAACAACATAATTCAACACCTGGGTTCAAATCATTTACTCTTAAAATTATTTAATTTAACAGCTATAAAATGATGAAACTAAGAATATTGTGAAGAATTGCCAGGGAAATGAAAAATGTAATAGTACCTCCCAAATGGTGAATACTCTTGCATTGGCATACAGCCCCATGCGAACCACGGCCCTTATTGCTGCATTCATGCCTGGAAGAGACATTAAAAAATTAATAATAAATATAATTTATAAATATTCTTAAGCATGCTATATTTTCCAACCTCACTTTGGGCAGCCCTCTGAATTTCATACCAACTGATCCACAAAGTTTAAAGTGAGTTGGAAAAAGGTATTGGGAACCCTGTGGTATGGCCTGCACATACATATCTTAGACCACCTTCACCATAGCAATGTCTGCCACCCATACCAGATAGTCCTTGATAATGTAAAACATTTCTCTTGCAAATCACTTCACTTGGTGATAAAAACAGACCCTTCTTTTAAAATGAGTGGGACTTCCTCATAAAATTTCAAAAAAGCCTTCTACATCTCCCCTCACCCCATCATCCCCAGTCACAAAGTGGCCAGCATTTTTTTCTTGCAAATATATTTTTATCAAATTATAGTAAGTCTGTATGAGAATAACTTTGAAATTAATTGGATCCCCCTCCCTTCCCCTACCCCTCCCTCTCCCCCCGCCTAAACCTCAGAAATGCAAGGGCTGCACAATAGACCTTCATATTCTAATGAAGTTACATTTAAAAGCCCCTCCCCCAAAAGATGAATTTCAAATACATTTACTTTCCTTGCATTGTCTCAGCGACTGATATAATCCCTTTACTCTTTCGGTATTTACCTTTGCTTTGCCCATATTTGCAAACAGATTGACAGCTATTATAAAACCACGGACATTATGGATCGGGGAAACATGACATTTGTCATGTCCTCGTATGACAATTTTTTTAAACAATTATTATGGCACTTGAATTATTTAAAAGGTTTTCTTTCTACAATATTTGAAGGAATATATCAAAGAACTAAAGAATTCAAAATTGTGTAAGTGTGTTCTATTTTGCAACTCTTTTTTTTTTTTTTTTTTTTTTTTTT